TCTTAAGAACACAGCTGGGTTCTTTACAGGAGCGTTCAGAGGCTGCTCTTCCTTTGTCACTTACAGCTGCATTCCCTGAATGGCAGCAGTGACGGCTTCTCCCACCCCCAGAGCACTCAGCATCTACCACCACACACACTGAGCCCCAAAGCCTCTCCTGTGCCATTATATCTGTCTATGAGAGCCCCACACCAGGGAGGGACCAGCAGAGGCACTAACAGAACTTCTCAGCCCCACGCCTATCTGTCCAGGCTGACCACAGCAGGGAACGTGCTCTCATCCAAGCACAAGCCCTCATCCAAGCACAAGCAGCATTCCTCAGGATGATTTTGAGCCCCAAGATATTTTGCTAAAAGGTGCAAATTAAATCCTTGTTCTTGGAAGGGAAGCTCTGGCTGCTGTGGCAGAGAACTGCTTTAATAACCGCTCTTGTCCTGTCCTGCTGGGACAGGAGCTTCTCCATTTCAAGACACTGCATCACTCCCTGAAGACCTCCATGGGGATCAGCCCAGGGGACTCCTGAGCATCACAGACATGTTCAGCACTGATAACAATCACAGGAGCAACAGCTCAAACCCCACCAGTGCCTGAATGACAAACTGTGCAGAAGACACCTGATGCCTGCTCCACCTCCTTTACTGACATGTTGCTCTCTTGCTTCCTGGGAACAGAACGTGGCTGTCACAACATGCAACTCCTCCAGCACAGTGCATAAAGCAGGGCTTGAAGGCAAGCTGCCCACAGCACAGACACCAGATGAGGACTGAAAGCTGGCAGGGGTGTTTCAGCTAGCATCCAGCAACAGGTTTCATCCACTCTCATGGTGGGTTCGTTCTGCTTTCCTCAAGGTTATCACTGGGAGGGATCCGCTGCCTCAGGCTGAACCAGCTCCTGGCCGCCTCAAGCCGTGTGCAGTCAGTCCCAAGACGTCCATTCACTTGCACACTCTGCCTTCCTTGACAAACAACACAATCATAAGAGCCCCATTTAAAACCACAACTAACATGCCCCAATGTGCCCCAGGGTGTTAATGCAGAGATGAAACACTTCGTGAAGCTCACAGTGCGAGGCTGAGATGAAAAATGCCAATGCCACTGGCCTGTAATGAGCTGGCTTTCAGGACCTCCAGGACAAGGAGCAACCAGGAGGACCAGAGGCAGCAGTGTGCACCTCTGCAGCACTCAATCACCCCAAGAGATGCCAAATGCCTTTACTCAGAGAGACGCATAACCAAAAGGTATCAGATTATAGTTCCTTATAATCGAGAATCTATGCTGAAAAGATAACAGGTTTAAAGAGGGACATTCAGATGACCAGAGCAGTATCATTTCCTGCCATGTGGGGACAAAGGTGCTGCTCAGTGAACACCATCCCCACCCCACAGGGGAAGTGGAGAGTTCCCAGTGTGCTGAGATCCACACTTCCTATAAATAACACAGGATGTGCAAGCTGCCTAAAATACCCAGGGGAGAACGTGAACATGCCAGTGGAAGAGGCACAACGAGCCCAGCAGCACTCGTGTGTCATCCCTTTCCTCTGGCGTGCCCAGCAGCACCTCTCAGTGGGCTTTAATGCAACAGAAACTCAAAGCACTTGAGAGCAAGTGCCCAGCCATGAGCACCAAGGGTCTGTTGTGGAGTTCAGTGACTGTCACAGAGCACCAAGGGTCTGTTGTGGAGTTCAGTGACTGTCACAGAGCACCAAGGGCCTGTTGTGGAGTTCGGTGACTGTCACAGAGCACCAAGGGTCTGTTGTGGAGTTCAGTGACTGTCACAGGGGCAGAGATCCAAACTGTGCTCCCACAGTGAGCACCAGTGGGAAGGGGTCACCCCACCAGCCTTCAGCAATGCAGCAGGAACAGCACACCTCAGTGGGAACCAGCACAGGAACCAGCACACCTCAGTGGGAACCAACACAGGAACAGCACACCTCAGTGGGAACCAGCACAGCTCACTGGGAATCAGCACAGGAACCAGCACACCTCAGTGGGAACCAGCATGGGAACCAGCATGGGAACCAGCATGGGAACCCGCACACCTCACTGGGAACTAGCACAGCTCACTGGGAACCAGCACAGGAACCAGCACAGCTCACTGGGAACCAGCACAGGAACCAGCACAGCTCACTGGGAATCAGCACAGGAACCAGCACACCTCAGTGGGAACCAGCACAGCTCACTGGGAATCAGCACAGGAACCAGCACACCTCAGTGGGAACCAGCATGGGAACCAGCATGGGAACCCGCACACCTCACTGGGAACCAGCACAGGAACCAGCACAGCTCACTGGGAACCAGCACAGGAACCAGCACAGCTCACTGGGAACCAGCACAGGAAGCTGTGCACCTCGTGCAGGAGCAGCACATCCCTCCCTGCTCTCCGCACTGCTGCAGTGTCCCCTCCTGGTCACGGCCGCAGCAGCAGCAGCAGCAGCACAGAGCACAGGTGCCATCCCAGCAGCGGGAACTGAACAGACACCAAGGAGCAGCTCCCAAAGGGCTGAACCAAACGGAGCTCGAGTCTCCTGTCACCACTGTGGGCAAGGACTGCAGGCAGAGGTGACCCTGAGGAGCAGATTACGTGCACCTAAACCGATGAGCATCAGCTGAAGCCCTTCCTGCAGCAATGCCCTGGCTCCAGTGGCTTCCCTGCTGTCTGCTATGGGCTGAGCCCATACTGCAGCCCCCTTCTCAGCAGAGGATCTAAACTCAGCTGCTTAATTTCACAGCCCAACAGAAGCATCCCTCTGGCAAAGGGGACTGAAGGGAGGCAGGGTCCAAAGCTCACTGGGAAGGAGCAGCCTGCCAAAGGGGACAGCCAAACCCCTTCCAAAGGCAAACCAAGCTGCCCTCCCACCCACCAAGGCAGGGCAGCATTCAACGGGGCAAAAAGGAAAAGAGGAAATCATTGACATTACCCTTGCTGTGGTGAGGAGCTCTGGGAACTCTGGTGCCGGACCGCAGAGGAAAGCAGGAAGGCTGAATGGGAGAGAGGGAAACAGTTAAAAGCAAGCAGCAACTGCTGGGTTTTAGTCCCTGGCGGGGCAGAACACAGCGATACTGAGGTGTCCCAGTGGGATGGCACCACTCTTGTGCCTGTGAAAGCTTCCTTCAGTCTTATCATGGCAAAGATAAAGGGGGCAGCAAAATAAGACAGCAGTAAGGAAAAGAACCCATCAGTTGTGTGCAGCGCTGCAGGAGAGCAGGGCAAAGGCCTCCTGCTGCACACACACTTCTTTAGGGCGACGCTTCCACTCGACGCACCAGTTTAACAGGGATACAGGCAGAGCATCCCCCTCTTTTGGCAGCAGCGTGACCAAAAGGCACTGCAGTGACCTGAAGGAACACTGGCGAGCACTCTTTTAACTCCAAGCATTAACTGATGCTACCTGAAGGATCCCTTCCAGCCTCTGGCCCCCCCAAAGGGGAGGGAGCCATTGAAGAGCATTTCCCTGGTGGTTCTCAGCACCTCCTGCCAAGCCTTGCAAAGCTCCCACTCCGAAAAGCAAGGAGGAAGACAAAGCACACTGCCAGGGCCTGCAGCTCCCAGCAGGCACCCCCATGCCAAGGGGAACGTGGGCAATGGAAGAGTGGGGCAGGGTCAGCAGATGTGGGGTTAACACTCCTGTGCCTGGGGTTTCACCATCCCAAAGGTGCCTTTTCCTTCCAGACAGGAGTGGAGGAGCTGCACAGCTAAACAGGTAACAGTGGAGGGGGGAACTGAACGTATCCACGCTTTTCAGAGCTCTGTGCACATGTGGCAGCGTTCACCACACCAGTGAACCTGTGCTTCCACCCGCTGCACACCTGCCAAGAACGAGGGGCTTCCTGCAACTTCTGTTGCACTTTGAGAGAGGTTTGAGTTTTGGCAAGGAGCACGACCCACACACCATGAACTGGAAGAGAGAGATGAAGGGCTGAAAACACACGCTCGGGGATCTATCAAGCACAAACCTCATGAGGTTCAACAAGGCCAAGGGCAAAGTTCTGCCCCTTGGGTCGGGGCAATCCCCAGCACAAACACAGGCTGGGGGAGATGGGATGGAGCCTGAAGGACTTGGGCTGCTGGGTGAGGAGCAGCTCCCCATGACCCTGCTTCAGTGAGCGCTTGAGCCCAGAACCCCCCGTGTGCTGGGCTGCACCCCCAGAGCGTGAGCAGCAGCTCAGGGAGGGGATCCTGCCCCTCTGCTGCGTGAAGGGGAGACCTGAGAGCAGCTCCAGTGCCTGAAGGGGCTGCAGGGAACCTGGAGAGGGGCTTGGGACAAGGGATGGAGGGACAGGCCAAGGGGAATGGCTTGAACCTGCCCGAGGGGAGACTGAGATGAGCTCTTAGGCAGAAGCTCTTCCCTGGGAGGGTGCTGAGGCGCTGGCACAGGGTGCCCAGAGAAGCTGTGGCTGCCCCATCCCTGGCAGTGTTCAAGGCCAGGTTGGACACAGGGGCTTGGAGCAAGCTGCTCCAGTGGAAGGGGTCCCTGCCCGTGGAATTGGAAGAGCTTTAAGGTCCCTTCCAACACAAACCAGGCTGGGTTCTGGGATGCTGTGACCCGCGTTATCTCAGCGATAACAACTCCAACGTGCTTAATAACACAGACCGTGCTCAGCTTCTCTGCAGGCCCATTCCCTTCTCCCCTACCCAAAGCCTGACGGACACAGGCACGAACCGGAGCTCCCAAAGACAAACCGGAGCCACGCTTCACCGAGAACCCAAACAGCACCGTGCCCAGCCGGGCCGGGGACGGAGGAGACGCTGGATCCGGACCCGCATCCACCTTTTCCACCGCCCCTCCGCGGCTCCCCGGGGCTGAGCCGGGATGGACCCGAGCGCTCCCCACGCAGCCTCCCCCGGCGTGCACAGACCGGGGCCCGCAGCACCGGAGGGGCCGCGGGGAGGCCGCGGTGTTCAAGCCGCCGGCGGTGACCCCCGCCCGGCCGCCTCCCTCCGCCCCGTCCCGTCCCTCCTCACCTGCCGCCCGCCGCCGGGCCCCGGCCGCCACCGCCGCCGCCGCCGCCATCGCGGTGACCCCGGCGGAAGCGGAAGGAGCGGGGGTGACGGAGCGGGGCCATGGCGGCCGAGGCGGCGGAGCGGCACCTGGAGCTGCTGCGGGAGGAGCGGGAGGCAGAGCTCGCCCAGAGCAGGTACCGCGGAGCGGGCGGGGGCCGCGCCGGGTCCCCGAGCCCCCCGTGCCCTCAGGCAGCCCCGAGCGGCTGCGGTGGGAACCGCGTGGAGCCCCGGGCCCGGCTTCACCTGCGGGAGCGGCAGGCACGGAAACACCGGGCGGGCTGCGTGGAAGGGAGCTCAGAGCTCCTCCAGCTCCAGCCCCAACCCCTTCCACCGGAGCAGCTTGCTCCAAGCCCCTGTGTCCAACCTGGCCTTGAGCACTGCCAGGGATGGGGCAGCCACAGCTTCTCTGGGCACTCTGTGCCAGCGCCTCAGCACCCTCCCAGGGAAGAGCTTCTGCCTCAGAGCTCATCTCAGCCTCCCCTCGGGCAGGTTCAAGCCATTCCCCTTGTGTCCTCAGACGTGCCCTTAAGGGAGCTGCTGACTCACTCCTGTGGGAAAGCCGCTGTCCCCTATAGGAGATGCTGCACCCCTGTGTAACCAGCACGTCCCAGGAGGAAGCGCAGCCTGTCGGGCTGTCGCCGACAGGAGGTACCGCAGCACTCACTGCAGAGCACTCCCCAGTGGGAAGCGCACGCTCTCCGCCCTGCTGGAGTCACCCCGGAAGGGATCCCACCGCGCCTCACCCCTCAGGGCCTGCTGTCACCCGCAGGACCCCGGGGTGCTGGACCCTGCAGCCTCATCCAGCTTTGCCCTGGGGCTCAGACTGACCCCAGGTCCCGCCTGCCTCATGGGTTCAGAGTGCCAGGGAGGGCAGGGGTGTCTCCAGGTGCCCCTGGGTTATGTGTGGTCACGCTGGGGGCACAGACATCCCCGCTTGCGGTGCCAGTGAGACCTGCTCCTACCCAACCCCGAGTGCCCGGCCACAGGATGAGCTCATTCCACAGCTGAACGTCCTGCTCCCTCAGCTCCCTACAACTGGTCTGCACAGGACGCCAGCCAAGCTGGGGATGAAGGAGAATAAACCTGCTAAAGGGATTTCCCTTTCTGTATTGATCTATACCAAAACCAGACACTCCCTATCCCCCCAGAGCTGCTGCTGGCACTTTGTGCCGTGGTCACCTGTGGGCTGCAAGGCTGGGCAGCCACCCGTTAGGGTTGGGTGGGGGTCAGCACAGCTTCATGTGAGCAATGGCAGAGCTTCCATTTTAGTGCTTGTATCTATAGGACAGGACCCCGGTTATTCTCTCCTGGGCAGCTCCCTTCTCTCCACAGCCAGACAGGGGAGGAAAATACCACGAACAGACAATACCTCTTCTCCGGGCTCTGTGAGCATCACCCTGCTGCACAGAATAAGCCCATAGAAGCCAGTGTAGTTACATCACCACAAGGTTATGGCTTAAGCCAACTCTTCAATAAGCTGATGTCTCCTTTACCATCATCCTTCCCCTTCTTTTCCATCTCCCCCTCTGGCTTTTCGTGTCACCTGGAGCTCTGAACCTCAGCTTCAGTCCAGCCGATGGTTTCATGCCTGTGTTTGCTTCCCAGGGCATGGCAGGAAAGTGTCCCCCTGAAGGAGCTGCAGCGCAGAGGTGTCTGCCTGCTGAAGCTCCACGCTGCCAGCCAGAGAACCGGCCTCTATGGGCGCCTGCTTGTGACCTTCCAGCCTAGGAAACATGACCCGGATGCTGAGCTGCCCTCGAACAGCTTCGGGCCTGGTGAGTGATAATCCTGCCATGGCAAAATAGGTAAAGAGGTGACCAGCACAGAACCATAGAATGGCTTGGGTTGGAAGGGACCCTAAAGCTCCGCCAGCTCCAACTCCAACACCTTCCACTGGAGCAGCTTGCTCCAAGCCCCTGTGGCCAGCCTGGCCTTGAGCACTGCCAGGGATGGGGCAGCCACAGCTTCTCTGGGCACCCTGTGCCAGCGCCTCAGCACCATCTTCCTAACATGGTATTTGTAAAGACTGAACAATTGATGCCATAAAGGGAGGGAGAAAATGTTATGGCTACAGAATGAGTGTAGAGAAAACCAGCCTGTTTCTTCCTTGCCTACAGACACGTAGGTAGCACCAGGAAGTAATGCTGGTGACTGAAGTGCTGGTTTCCTCCTGCTCAGTGAATGAAACAGAAGCCCTGATCTCTTGTCATTAATGATTTCATGGCATTCCTTGTCCAAGCCAAAGTGTTCCTGTGGTAGGTGAGGAGCTTTGGTCACTTGCACTTTAAGAGCAAGATGGAGAGTGGATTTTCCTTTCCCTTCGAAGGTGTCACATTTCCTCCATTTTGGGCCGTGTTTGGTCGCTCCCCAAAAAAGCCTCTTCTCACAGCGTTTGCCCTGGTTCTTGCTGTCTTCACACTCACCCCTGCAGGGGACATCGCCGGCCTGTACGAGGCAGCCAGCCAGGGTGACGCGCTCTGCACGGGCATCGTGACACGCGTCACCTCCAGAGCAGTGACAGTCGCCTTTGAGGACTCCCAGGACACGCTGAGCCTGGACCACGAGCGCTCCTACCGCCTGCTCAAGCTGGCCAATGATGTCACCTACAACAGGCTCAAAAAGTAAGGCCCAGGGCAGCAAAAGCCAACTGAAAAATGCTGGGTTTACCCTGGAAAAGCTCCTGTGAGAGAGGTCTCAGTTTAATTCAGTAGCCTGGGCTTGCCTCCTTGCCTTTCTGTTCCTCCTGCTCCTATAGCACCTCCACTCAGGGGAGGTATCCACCTTTTGGCTGCGCCCTTCTTTCTGCTCACTACTAGGAGAGCCCATACTGTAGTAGCTCAACAGGATATGTTACGCTACAGCATCAAAACAGCCTGAATTTATCTGCCTGCTGGCTGGTTTGGTCCTATTCTTACCTCTTCCTCTCCCACAGCTGTGGTCCCATGTTGCATCACCTCTGGGACTATCTGGATTCTGCGTAGGGCCTTTTCCGTCCTGGCAAAAGCAAATAGCTCTGTGCTGAAAAGGTTCAGCACAGGGTTTGACTGCATCAGACTGGAGGAATAGGAGCAAGTGGAAGCCTGACCAGCATACGGGCCATGTGAGGTTTGCAGGATGCAGCCATTAAGTAGGATTAGTCTGTTGGGGCATAACGTTTCCAGCTTTGAAGGAGCAGAGTCTGTGACCAGCCTTCTGTCTCTGGGCCCTGAGGTGCACAGGAGCCTCCAGAGCTCATGCTGTGGTGTAACGTGGCTGTTCTTTCCTTTGACAGAGCTTTAAACGCACTGAAGCAGTATCGGGGCGGTCCAGCCTCTGACCTTATCGATGTCCTCTTCTTTTCTGCTGAACCCAGAGCATTCGGTGAAACAAGTAAGTTCCTTTGTCACAAGATTTCCTACCAGACCAATGCAGGGGCTGCCCTGATCTTTTTAGAGGAGTGTTCTGCTCCCTCAGAGCCCCTGGACCTTCAGGGGCAAGCACATGCACTGAGGCTACTACTAGTTTTAGTCTGCCTTGGTGTGGGAGGCTGGGAGTTAGGCAGGGGGAGAACCCTTTGGGATGGGCTGGTGAGGGCAGTGGTGATGCTGCTCTCATACGAGTTGTAAGCAAAGATACAGAAAGTTACTGTGCAGAAAGAGTGTGTGTGTGTGAAATTTCACTCTGCAGAGCAATCAGTAAAGCCTGAAGTTCCCCCCCCCCCCCCACACACACACACAAGGGCTCTGTGCTCTGTCTCTGCCTAGTTAGGATTCTTACCTTTTCAGATGTCACATCTGAGAGAGGCAAAGAGCCAGTGAGCGCCCTAAGTGGTGATGGTGCTGCCACTACTCCTCTTCCAGTCCTCCAAGGCCTGTATCTAAGGCTGCCCAGCTAAGAATGGTGCTCATGGCCTCTCAGGTCAAGAGCTATTCTTTGGAACTGCCCAGAGGAACAGAACTCTGATCTTTCGGAGGTTTTTATCCACACCTAACATGCAGCTTATTGTGCTCCATTAATAATACCCACGTATTGAACGCAAGTAGTAAGTGGTGGTGTAACTGGCAGCATTAAACAGCTACTTTTCATCCTGATTTATGGGCAACTGGACACACACTTTGCTCATGTGAAGACCCTTGTCATCACTGGGAGAGAGATTGTTTAGCTGGCTAATGCTCACCGTTCTCATTGTACCAAGTAAAGCTGGATTCTGGCACAAACCAGGCAGGATTTGTGATGGGGGATTTCTTTGCACACATGAGTCTGAGATTCAGTTTAGTTTATGAGGCATTTCTCATTTGCTTCCTGCCTCAATCCCATCCGTAAACTTCAGAGATCAAAAGCTGCCAGTGATGCTTCTATATTGAAAATCCAATAACTCTGCCTTCATGGGAATTAAGTGACTGGAGCTGCTGCAGCTGGGAGCAGCATGGGAACACTCGTGTTTTTACAGCCTTATTGCATTCAGCCAGGTTGGAGATGTGCAGGCTGCTCTGGTTTCATCAGATACCTAAAACCTCACAGCTGTTGAGGTGGTTTTACTGTTGGTTTTATACTGCAGGTTTTACCAACAGCTGTCAAGAAATGGTGTATAAGTAGAATCCCTTTTACTCAGATACCTTTTTATGGGAGTCTATGGAAAAATGAAGGATGGAATTACAGAGCTTTCCCTTTGCAAGCAACCACAGGGGAACCAAAGCTTCTGATGAGCAAAATGTCCAAGTGCTCAGCAACTGCTAAGGAACGTTATCCCTTGGAAGTATCCTTGGAGCTGCCAGAGGCAGGGGGTGAAGGCAGAGGGTGGATGAAGCTGCCAGCAGGACTGGGCAGCAGTTCTGTATCTGAGCCACACAAAGAGCTGAGGTCCTTCCTGTCACCTCAGCATCATGCCACGGGTGCCACCACCCATCCCTGCCCACCTCCTTGCTGGCCAGGCTGCACTGTTTCCTGCCCAGCACAGCTCCTGGCACTGCACTTGCTGCTGCTGCAGCTTCTCACTGTGATCTCTGTGGTTGGTTGGTTGCCTTTCACAGCTCCCATCCCCTGCAGTACCCCTCAGGCGGGCTTCTGATCCCTACACCAAGGACAAGGAGTTCAGGTTAGTGCAAGTCATAGCTCCACAGTAAAGCACTGAGCTTAATCCAAGTCAGACCTCTTAGCCTTTGGCTGCCTGGGACCTTGGTGCACTCAGGGTTTTAATATTAGATACAAGGCTTAAATTTTAATGAACTAACTTTCTGAGCTGCAACTTTGCTTATTCCCTCGTGTAGCAGAACTGCCTCTAACAAAGAAAAAGTCCTTTGCACCACATTGCTCAGCTGTGCCAGACTAAGCAGAGATGAACTCCAGATCTCCCCAGCTCTGAGAGAACACTGCTAGAGACATTCAGCCACATCAGACAGACAGAGGAGATGCAATATGAGAAGGCAGCATATCACCTGATAACAGCAAAACACTGGCAGGGAGGAAGGACCTTCCATTTACCTTCTCACCTCACAGCTCCTTTCTCCCAGCTGGAAAGGTGCCACACCAGCCAGGAATTAAATAGTAATGACTTCAGCTGGGTCCTGCAGGCTGCCCTGAACTGCCACCCTCCACTGAGTTGAAGGGGAGGACACAGCAGCTGCCTGGGTAAATCCTGTGTCTTGTGCTTACTTGACAGCCCATGCAGTTCCTCAGGGTCAGTCGCTGTAGGACACAGGGATGTGTCTGCAGAGAGCACAGACACAGATGTGTGGACTGTCTGCAGAAGACAGCAGGTATTTCCCAGGAGCACACAGAAGAACAGAGAAACCTCAACATTTCAGGCTGCTGTTCCTCCATGGCACAAGAGCTCTTTCATGACCGAGCATCTTTTCGCCTGGTTTCTTAGGGAGATGCTTCCCTGTATCTCTCATTCCGTCCATTATCTGATTTCAAACCAACCTGGCAGGAGTCTCAGAAGTTCTGTACATCTCCTAAAACTGTCTAGACACATCTCTGGGAATGCCATTCCAGGATGCAGTGTGTTTGTAATACCTTAGAACAGTCTTCCAGTGCCTGAAGGGGCTGCAGGAAGCTTGGAGAGGGGCTTTGGGCAAGGGCCTGTAGGGCCAGGCCAAGGGGAATGGCTTGAACCTGCCCGAGGGGAGACTGAGCTGAGCTCTCAGGCAGAAGCTCTTCCCTGGGAGGGTGCTGAGGCGCTGGCACAGGGTGCCCAGAGAAGCTGTGGCTGCCCCATCCCTGGCAGTGCTCAAGGCCAGGTTGGACACAGGGGCTTGGAGCAAGCTGCTCCAGAGGAAGGGGTTGGGATTGGAGCTGGAGGAGCTTTAAGGTCCTTTCCAACCCAAAGCACTCAGGGATTCTGTGATTCTCCCCCCATCTTACACAAGCCCACTTGCAGAAAACGTGCTCAGGACACTGCTCCAGTGGGAATTGTGCCTGTACCCATCACTGCTGGGAGGATTCACCCCAAGTCGTGAGCACGCTTTTCCTGACACTGGGAAGCAGCTGTGTGCAGATTAGCACAGCAGCAGCAGCTCTGCCAGTCATCAGGAGGTGGGGAAAAGGGCACTGAAGTGGTTTTGCCATTATTACCCTCCTGCTCCTGCTGATGTTTCCTCTGCTCAGCCGATACCATGCAGCGGTCCCACACCAGCAGCCACTAACTTCTCAAACCCCTGTTTCTCTTGGCTTTATCGGACTCCTTGTCAACCTGATCAGCCTGTGACTGGATTTAGGCCCCCTCCTGGGCTGACACAGACTTAATATAGCTCCTCCGGCACCACACTTGGCAGCCTGCTCTGCCAGGATAACCAGGGAGCTGTGATCCCATCCTGAGAGCATCACAGTGCAGCAAAAAGATAAGGAACTAAAAGCTATTTACCAGATAGGCCACGAGGCTCTTGTCACTGTACTTGTGTGTGTCCTAAAGATACCCTCTACATCCAGCCTTTGGGAAAATAGAATCATAGAGTCCTGAAATGATTTGGGTTGGAAGGGAGCTTAAAACTCATCCAGTTCCAGCCCTACTGCAGGATGCTCAGGGTGCCCCTCTGGCTCTGGCCAGGAGTGTGGGCTCATGGCTGAGCAAGGCCAGGCTTTTGCTCCCTCCTGAGCTGCTGGGATTGTGCATGAGCTGAGGTGTTACCTACGGGTGCACAGCAAAGCCCAAGTCTTTTTAAAACACTTAGAAGTGCAACTCAGAATATATATCATCCTTGGACGGAACACAAGGTGTGCTGGGGGAGAACCGATGGAGTAATCAAAAGAAGCATCAGAAGGGCTCACCAGTACGTAAATGGGAAGTGCAGCTGATAGTGGGGCCGGCCCCCACCACAGAGCACTTCCAGCCTTACCTTGCTGCCTCCAGAAAGGGACCAAGTGGGAGAATGAGCTTCCTAAAGATAGCTCTGACCTGAACAGGATTTCTGCTCATCAGACGCTCCGGGAAGCAAAATACAGGTGCTGACCCATAAGAAATGCTTTGCTTGGCTCTTCTCCTCTTTAACCTGCACTTGTGGCCCAGGAGCATTTGGAGCTTTCACACCAACAACCTCCTCCAAGCAATCCTTCCCTCCTGAGAGGGGGTATTGTGGGAACCCCTGCGCCTCTGAACTGTGCTGATGTATAGAGGCTTCACTTGCCAGCAGAGGCCAGCCCTGCTCTGTCACTGTGCAGAGCCCAAGCCAGTGGGCACAATCACTTTGCTTCCCAAAACAACATGCCCTGTTGTAGGCACAACCCAGTGCAGATCAGTGGTAGCCACCAGCTCCCTCCTGTAGCTCAGGTCTAGAACAAGCAATGGGCTGTTGGGTGAGGAGCAGCTCCCCATGACCCAGCTTCAGTGTGTGCTTGAGCCCAAACCCCCCCGTGTGCTGGGCTGCACCCCCAGAGCGTGAGCAGCAGCTCAGGGAGGGGATCCTGCCCCTCTGCTGTGCTCTGGGGAGACCCCCCTGCAGTCCTGACCCGACTCTGGGGCAGCAGCACAAGGACAGGGCTTGGAGCAAGCTGCTCCAGTGGAAGGGGTCCCTGCCCGTGGCAGGGGTTGGAGCTGGAGCTGGAGGAGCTTTAAGGTCCTTTCTAACCCAAACCACTCTGGGATTCTGTGGTGCCCCAGGGCTGGAGCTGGGTTAATGGGCATTTTCTGGGAGCACCAGTGCAAATCCTACACTGCTGGCTCATAGGCATCCACTGGGCCAGCCCTGCTGGGGTGGATAAACAGCATGTCTTCAGGAGAGCCTGCTTCGAGCCCAGCTGGTGGATGGAGCAGTGTTTCCATGCCACAGCATCATCCCTTCCAGGGCTCTGCCCTCCTCCTCCTCCCCACTGACATGCCCAGCCCTGGGAAGAGGCCCATTTCCCAGCCTGCCCACGCTCAGCGCTTGGCAGCGTGTGGTGAGCAGGGGAGAGGGTGTTTCTGAGCTCATGCCTGGAGCAAGGAAGCATCAATGACTCCTACGTCCCGGCTGTTCCCTGTTGTGGGAAATGCCTTGCAGTTTTTAAGCTATTCTTTCTTCCCCAGCCCATGGGGTGCTTCCTGCTCTTAGTCATTAGCACGCTGACTCCAAAGTTGTGTAAAGCCAGAGCATCACTACTCCTCTTTTCCTCACAAGTGCTGTTTACTGCAGAGCCCTCATTCAGCTGTGCTGCTCCAACAGCCAGCACCAGAGGTTACAGTTTAACCTGCCCCTGCTCTTCATCAGGCCCTTAATGCAGAGATAGCGCTGAAACACATGATGCCCACAGGGAATGCTGCCCAGAGATGTGCCTTACATAAGCCTTCAGTGGGAACATGATTTCCAGTCACCTCAGTGCAATGAGTCACCAGCTCTGCTGTAATTAACTCCCATAATGAACAAGGAGATTAGGGGGGGTGGGAAGAAATATGGGTTGAAATTAGATAAATCTGGGAGATAAAAGGCAGCTTGTGACAATTCCATCCCTGCAGTGAAACCCATTCCCTGTAATGCACTTTGCAGATTCTTTCCCCTTTTCCTTTCCAATCATTATAACTCTAATTTGAGTTTTCACCATTCCTGTTGCTGGTTTGTGTCTTCTTCCTGCCTCCCTCTTCAGGCGCTGAACAATACAGGGCTGCTCCTTTCTGCCCACAGATGCTGTATGTTTTCCAGCTGCTTTATTCACCAGTGCTATCTTGGGCTTGTTAATGGGAATGGGAGAGATTTGTTTGTAAGATCAACTACTTCCTCCCCTCTTTTCATTGAGGGGTTACTCAGTGTGCTGCCTCCCCTCAGAAACAACCCCAGGACACCTCCACACCCAGCAGATCCCACACGTTTGATGTTTGGAGAGGGGCTTTGGGCAAGGGCCTGTAGGGCCAGGCCAAGGGGAATGGCTTGAACCTGCCCGAGGGGAGACTGAGCTGAGCTCTCAGGCAGAAGCTCTTCCCTGGGAGGGTGCTGAGGCGCTGGCACAGGGTGCCCAGAGAAGCTGTGGCTGCCCCATCCCTGGCAGTGCTCGAGGCCAGGTTGGGCACAGGGGCTTGGAGCAAGCTGCTCCAGTGGAAGGGGTTGGGGCTGGAGCTGGAGGAGCTTTAAGGTCCCCTCCAACACAAACCAGGCTGGGATTCTATGGTTCTATGTTATAGCAAGTAAGTGCCGCTAAGTGCTGAAGCGATCCAGTGCAGAGTGGCTGTGTTCTCAACTGGATGCTCCTCCTGCAAGATGGGAGAGGAAGAGGAGGAACACAGGAACACAGGGTGGGAGCCTGTTTGAAAGCATGACAAGCCTCACTTCCAGCCTGGGCTCTTTCAGCCACCTGGGCAGGACAGAGCTCGCCTTCACCCCAGCATGGTTATTCCCAATATCAGATTGATTTGGGCCATCTCCCGAGATCTCACTTGTATTCATGGATTTGTGCTCCTCAGCAAGCAGCCATGTGAGGGCTGAGGTCCAAGTGACTCCTCCTGCTCTCTCCCCAGAGCCTCTGCAGCTTTACAACAACTCACTGGATGCATCGCAGAGGGAGGCAGTCTCCTTCTCCCTGGCACAGAGGGAACTTGCCATCATCCATGGACCACCTGGCACAGGGAAGACCACAACACTGGTAGAGATCATCCTGCAGGCAGTACAGCAAGGCCTGAAAGTGAGTATAGAGGTGGTTTCTTTTGCAAGCTCATTGCAGATCCAGCTCATCTCCAGATGGAGCAGATCCAGCTGTAGCTGTGCTACACTGCAGTCTGGCTCGGCCTGGCGGGGACCAGGCAGTTTCCCCTGGCAGCTGAAATGGGGTGCAAATAGAAGCTCCAAAGCTCAGGTTTGCTGCTTATTGAAGACCCTGCACTTGCTTCCAGGCAAGGCGGGCACTGCCTTTGGTGTCTGGAGGCTGCAGAGGTGTCAGTGGGTTGTTGCAAAGCCTGCGTTGGTCGCCCTCTCTCTGCTGAGGGTCTTGCTGCTCGGGTGCTGCTTCCTGGCAGTGACAAGCTCCTGGTGTGTCCCATTGCAGGTCCTGTGCTGTGCCCCCTCCAACGTTGCAGTGGATAACCTGGTGGAGAGGCTGGCCGGGCACAGCGTGCGCATCCTGCGGCTGGGGCACCCCGCGCGCCTGCTGGAGCCCATCCAGCGCCACTGCCTGGATGCGGTCCTGGCTCGGGCTGACACTGCCCAGATCGTGGCAGACATCAGGAAGGACATCGACCAGGCCTGTGTACGTGTCCCTGCCACACGCCCATGGGGGTTACCTGGGTGCCAGCTCATCTGCTAACCAGGCAAGCTACTGAGTCTCCCAAACTGAGGAGGAGCCCTGCCTCTTCTTGGCTGTAGCGAGTGTCTTGCAAGAACATCCAGGTCCTCTGGGTTGCCCCAAAATTGGTGGCTAGAGGCAAGTCCCAGTGACAAGTCCTGACATGAGCCCTTGGCACCAAACCTGCTGTTTATGAGCCCACTGATGCTCCTAGTTTGGATCTCCCTGTGTACAGGTAGGGAGGAAATCCTGGTGGGCATGAGCCTCTCTGTGGTCAGTCAGCAGCAGAAAGGCCACTTCAGGGAGAGGACAGAAAACAGCCGAGTGCAGGGACTGGCAGCTGGAGATACATGTGGAGACATTTAACCTGGCATTGGGTAAAGGAGCTGGGTGCAAGCCTGGCAGCCTTAGGCATAGGGAAAGGCTTCCAGCCTGAGGAGGTGTCTCATAGAGAACCTCTACCAGGGGTGGCCTGAGCCTCCTCAGTCACCTGCCACCAGTGCTCATCTTCAGCTGCTGAGGAAGCTGAGGGCAGACTCATCTGAGCTAAATTCCTCATCAGAGCAGCAAAACATCCCTGGAAATGTTCAAGGATCTCTCCCCCCATCCCTGGCAGCGTTCAAGGCCAGGTTGGAGGGGGCTTGGAGCAATCTGCTCTAGTGGAAGCTGTCCCTGCCCTGCATGAGCTTTAGGTCCCTTCCAACCCAAACCACTCTGGGATTCTATGATTGGAAACCATCCTCACTCCCCGGTGGGGGAGCTGCTGCAGTGCCTGCTCCCCAGCTGATCTGTCTGGCATTGTTCATGCCATCCTCTTCACCAGAGAGAAACACTCACATCATTAATTCACTTCCTAACAAGAAGTCTGCTGTCCTGATGCTCCCTCCCACTCTCAGCCACCTCAAATAGAAAGCACATTACACTGTAAAAATGCATCCTTAATTTCTTCTTTCCCGGCCTAATTCTCCTGAACTCAATTTTCAAAGTAGCCCTTGCACTTGGCACAAGTTTGATACCAGGGAGATTTTCCCCTCCCTCTTCTGGTGGCAGCATTATCCAGAAGCCACTTTGCAGATGTGGCCAGCTCAAGAGAGGTCCTGTGTCGATCAGAGGTGCAGGAGGGCACCTCCCTGTCCCTGCTCACAGGTGGTGTGGTACCTGCCTGAGCTCATTGCCCTGGCACTGCACGTTTGCTTTAACTGATGCAGAGCAAGCCCAGCTTTCAGCTCCATGAGCCTTGATCTGCAGCCACCCTCAGGAGCAGCAGTGCTTTTCCTTGCTGTGGTTTTTGCATCACCCAGTTTCTGTTGCTGGGGCATCCCTTTGGCAGACGAGTGGTGCTTGCACTCATCTGGGACTGCACTTATCTGCTGGGATGGAGACCCACTTGTAGTCACAGCTCTGCACCGAGTCTTTTTCTCACTAGCGGTTAATGTTCCCTTTCCTCTCCTTGGAAGCACTTTGGAAGGTGGGAGGAGGTTGGGTTTTTTTCCACTGTTGATTTTCCTTAGTAGAAGGGAAATCAGGGAGAAAGCAGAGCCTTCGGCACTGAGGTCTGATCTACTCCCTCCCTGCAGCAAGGGGTCCGTGGTGATGGGGTGTAGGAGCTGGCCACCAAGGCTCATTCCACCCTGAACACCAAACCCCAAGAGCACATTGCTGCAGTTCAGCTTGCCTGGCAGTGCTCTGCGCTGCCCGTGGTCAGGTCTTTCACAGCAGATACACCTGAATCATCAGCATCTCTCTTGGGCTGCAGAGAGCTCACCTCAGGTCCTGGCCCATCTTTCCCTCATCTTCTCCCCTGCAATATCCCCTACTCACCCCTATAACAACATCTTCCTTTATCCACTCCACTTGGTCATCTCATTCCATTCCTTCACCACTGCCCACAACTACATGAGAGCTAGCAATATGAATGAGCATTATCTACCCCTTTGTGTCTCATTCCCTTACCTGTCCAGGCTTCAAGCTTTCCAGGACATCAGCTTCTGGATTCTCTGCACCAAGAAACACCACGCTGAGCAGGGTCAGCCAGCAGTGCAGATCACAGACAGGTCCAGCAGCAATGGGGCAGCCAGCCCAGGAAGGAAGAGGGGGTCAAGGTATAAACCCTATAGCTCAGACCCAGGCCAGGCTCTGGCCTTAAATAGAGCTCCCAGCCCAATGAGTGGTTGGGTGGGACCCAAACGAGGCAGCTCAGGGCAATCAGAGCCTGCTGGGACCCCCAGAGCCCTCATGGGGAGCGAGTAGGATCCAGGCCCTGTCCCTGGGGCTCACTGGGCCTGGCAGTGCTCTGTTACCCCAGCCTGGGCTCCCAGAGCTGGGAATCACTCCAGTGTGTGCATCAATGTCACCAGAGGGCAGCTGCTGTTGATTCACTGACCAGATCTGTTCTGCAGAGCAGACACTGAACTCGGCCCTGCTGGCACCATCCCTTCTGCTCTCTCATCCTCCCCTGTCCTAGCAGTGAGGCAGTCGATGCTAATCTGCTTTGTCCCTTCAGCTCAGTGGCTATCAGGACCCGTCCTTATGGATCAAGCTAAGGAGAAGATGCCTTTGTGATTGCTTTGTCTGGGTATCTGTCTGTGATCCTCCCCTGTAGCTTCTGAGCCCGTCAGCCAATTCTGACTGCACTTGACAGACACGTAGAGGTTTCACGGGTATTAAATACCCACAGGTTTAACCAAAACACATGGCAGAGTGGAGGAGTGAGGCACAGGAATGTCCTTCCTATGGAAAGGGCTGCAATGTGAGTGTTAGACACTGGAGAATCCACCCATAGAGTATACTGTAGGAACCATCAGATCTTGGTTTGGCCACATATAGAAGCTTCTGTCTGCAACCTTGTGAGCTTTGTGAAGGGACCAGGCCTTCCTCCAAGGAAACATCCCCACTTCCATGTGGGAATGTGGTGGCTTCTCACGGTGACTGCACTGACTGAGGCCTTGGCTGGTGTCTCGTAGCTGCTGATCTGTGGCTGGGGAAGCTCTGGCAACCAGTGGTGATGATTTGATGTGTTAGATACATTTAATAGGCTTTGCTAAAAGACGCCCCGAGCCTGTCTAGATGCTCTGCATCACTGACGGATACAGCCTTTTAACAATGCAGAGCTCTGCTTTGGCTTGACAGGGTGCACTCAGCTTGGGGAGTCCTGCCTGAAGGTCTCTTGGTCCCTGCTTCCCCCCATGCAACAGAGCACAGTGAGACAGGAAATCCCAGTTCCTCACCCAGCAAAGGCACAAGACCCATTAAGCCCAGTCACCATTACACACACTCCCTGCTCCGTGCCCAGGTGCTTCGACCAGTGCATAGACTCAGCTGTGAGAGGGACTGAAGCATCTGACCCCCTCCCTTGGGGCACAGGCAGGTGCAGGGCAGAGCAGGAAGGGCTGAGCAGAGGATGTGAGGACAGGGAGTTACTCTCCAAGACTTCACGTTCACAGTTGAGGACTATCAGAATGTGCAGCAGAGGAGTTTCAGCACAGACCAAGCCTGGCTGGACCCTGGGGGATGCTGTTAGTCCTGATGCCCCTGCCCTGAGGAGCAGCAGTATTCACATTTTACTTGTACTGATACAGCTTGTCCTTTGCATAGACAAACACTCTTTATGCTTCAAGCACCACTGACTGTGGAAGGGGCTTTGTGGGAGGGAGAGGGGAGAGAACCTGAGATTTCCTGGGGCTGCTGCTGAGGAGCCGGTGTACCCCAGTGGACACAAGCTGTGTGCATCCAGGCTCTGTGGATAAGCTGACCATAGCCCTAGGAGCAGGAACACCTTGTTCTAGCTTGATTTTCCCATTTCCTAGGCAAAAACCAAGAAGGCTCAAGACAAGGGGGAGCGGAGCCACTTCCTCAGTGAGATCAAGACCCTGAGAAAGGAGCTGAAGCAGCGAGAAGAAACAGCGGTGGCTGCAGCCCTCAGCCACGCCAGCGTTGTCCTTGCTACCAATACAGGTACAAGATCCTCCTTTCTTTGCAGTGTTTTACCTCCCTTGCCAGCACTGACGTAAAGCACATGCCCTGAGATGAAGCATCCTGCCAGGATAGGGGAGGCTCAGGCTTCCTGCTCCAGGCTCCTGGGAGTTGTTTGCTGCAAGCTCCCCAACTCCTCCACACTGGGCATCTCCCTGCTCACGCTCTGGCACACGATGCTGTTGTTCAGCAAAGACTCCAGGTTTGGAAAGGCCTTTGGTGGGAGCCAGCGTGGCCCATCTTTGTTAGCTGTGAGCAGGAGCTGAGCTTCCAGTGAGTAAACAAGTGCTATGGGAGGTGTGCAGTCTGCTTATTGATTTCACAAGGCACGTGGAATTGCTTTCCTGCTTGGATAATTCCCATGGCTGATCCAATACAGCACGTGTTCCCATAGCCTGCCCTCAGCCTCTGTGTGTTTGCTTAGTCCTGGAAGTCACTCAGGGGCTGTGGGGTTTAGGGACAGGGGGAGGGTTCCTTTCTCCAGTAAAAGTGCTGTTCTGAGCTGATGTTGTGTGGCTCAGGTGTGGTTTTCCCCTATGATCATGGGCCTTGCTGGAGCTCTCTGTGGTTCTGCTTCAGGGAAGGGCAGTGGGCAAAGAAGGGGCCTGGATTTGGTGTTCTCCTCAGTTAAGCACTCCTGGTATTTGTCTGAATCCCTGCAGTTTGATGGGATTTGTTATCCATGCTCTGCTCTGCTCCGTTGCTGCGTTTAGCTGAGAGAGGATTTGCTCACGGCAACACACAGGGACAGCAGTGACCTTTAGTGACTGGGAGCTCAGTAAACTCCAGTCAGGCTGTAAGGGCAGGGACCCATCTGCAGAGCTGGTGCCGCACTGATGCAGTCTTTTTGAGGCAGGGAGAACCTTCTGCTGCTTCTTTTCCTTCCACCTTCAGTGTGGCAGGAGTGCAGAGGCCAAGTTCAGATTGACTGCCCCTTGTAACCCAGATGGATTCATAGAAGCTGGATAAACGGGTTATAAAGGAGAACAGTGTCTCAGTTGTCAGACTGCACCACGCTAACTCATGCAGAGCTGGGGAGCAGCAGGGTTTCCAGGGGCGCAGCAATGCCCATCAGTGCTGCCTTCAGAGCACAGGAGCTTTGCAGAACCATCCTGGTGAAGGCTGTGAAACACTCTCCTTGGCTGGCTTCTTCACCCTCCTCTGCCCCTTTGCCTCCCTTTTGCTTCTGAGCTGCAGGGATCCGCTTGAGGCCTCTGAAATGCACAGCTCTGCTCAATGTGAGGGTCACTGTGGGCTCCTGCCTGGGTTACAGTAGGATGTGTGGGAGGTTGGTTGGGTGGCACTACAGATGGATGGAAAACCAGCCCAGGCTGTGGCTGTGTGATTCGAGCCTCCTGTGCTGCCCCTTCTGCTGCCCCAGGGAAGGCCAGAGCAGCACAGACCCGCAGATCTGCAGGGCAGAGGAGTTGAGTCTCAACTGATCTTCCCCTCTTGGCTGTCCCTTAGTGCCTCAGGCAAGGTGGGTCTCACATCCATCACCCTTTAGTCTGGGTTGGTGAGAAGCTGTTTGCATGAGGGGGCGGCTGGGAAGCGGGTGTCCATCAGTGCTGCTGCTCTGCTCCTGCTCTGAGTGAAGGATTCAAGCATGTTCTGCTTGTCATCTGGTTTCTGTTGTTTGCAAAGATACTTGGAAGCTCCCTGGCCCAGATGCCAGGGCTAAAAAGGACAAACAGGTATTGGTAAAACCAGTTCTGACATAGGCAGATGAACGGATTGCAGGGCTGAAATCCTAAATCTGTGCAAAGAAGCATGATTCTACCTGCCTCCCTCTGTCAAGACTGTGCAGTTTGGTTTGTACTCTCTGTGCTTCCCTGCTGAGCTGCCCCTTCTCCTTTCATAGGTGCTTCCTCTGAGGGCCCCCTGAAGCTGCTTCCTGACAACCACTTTGACCTCGTGGTGATAGATGAGTGTGCTCAGGCGCTGGAAGCCAGCTGCTGGGTACCTCTGCTGAAGGCTCCCAAGTGCATCCTGGCCGGGGACCACAAACAGCTTCCCCCCACCATCATCTCCCACAAGTAAGGAGCAGTTCATGGTCCTGGGTCCTCCTCTTGTTTATGCAGCCAAATGCTTCTGAATGCCTCAAATGTGAAGACGTTTCGTTAGGGTGGGTTCTTTATTGGGATCCCCGTGAGCTGGGTTGGGTCATGCTGCCCGTTACATCCAGCCTGCTTTACTGGTGAGCACTGCTCCAAGTTTAACAGGGCTCCATCTAAGCAGGGTCAGGAGATGACACTTGGTTGCTCTACCTGCTGCTGACTGGTCATCTAAGAGCAAAGTGTGTAGTTCCATGGTGCTTTTTGTGCTGCTGAGTGCCTGCAGGGCAGCAGCTCCAGGGCGTGCGGGGCTCTGAGTGTGCAGACAGGGAGAGCAATGGGGAGGCAGCCTCTGGAGCTGCTGGGAGGTCTCAAAGGTCTCAGGCTCTCATCCGTGTGGTGTCCTGGGTTCAGCAGTAGCAGTCATTTTTCTCCTTCTTGGTAGCTGGTGCAGTGCTGTGTTTTGACTTCTAGTTTTGAGAACAGCGTTGGTGAAGCCGATGTTTTCGGTTGTTGCTAAGTGATGTTTACCCTGACCAAGGACTCTGTGAGGCTCATGCTCTGCCAGGGAGGAGGGGAAGCTGTGAGGAAGCAGAGACGGGGCGCCTGACCCGGGCTAGCCGGGGAGGTATTCCATACCACAGCACGTCATGCCCGGGGTGGGGGGTAACTGGGAGTTACCCGGAAGGACAGGAGCTTCCGGGTGGAACTCGTTTTCTTGGCCGGTGGTATCGTATTCTCTTCCCTTGTTATTTTCCCTTATCATTGTTTTAGCTGATAGTAGCGGTGGTGATTTGTTGCTGGACTGTTCTTGTCTCAACCCGTAGGAGTTGCACTCTCTCGATCCTCCTCCCCGTTCCTCCGGGAGCGGGGAAGGGGAGAGCCCCGGTGCAGGGAGGGGGGGGGAGACGAACACGGACCTTGATTGTTGTCAGCTTAGGACCACTCACTGGGAGTGAGTGAACAAGTTACCTGACTGGGTTTAAACCACGACATGTGGGAGCAGATACCTGGCCTGAAGGAGTCTTGAGTGTTGTAGGAACAGGGGATTGGAACTGGATGAGCTTTGAAGTCCCTTCAACCCGAACCAGTCTGGGATTCTATGGGACACTGCTGTGCTCCTTCAGCAGCACAGGGGCCTGTGTTGTTTGCTCTGGTTTTCTCTGTAGTGAGCAGTACTTGCACTGTGCACTACTGCTGGATTACTGACTGATGTTTCTCCTGAGAGACCTGTCAGCAGCAGGGGCACCTTCTCACTTCCACTTAGCAGCACTTACCTGAATTCTCATTTTCTCTGTTGTGCAAACCAATATTGGGAGTGGTTGGAAAACCTGTTCAAAACCCACCTTAAAGCAGTCACATCAAAGTAGTGGAATGGAACCAGCAAAGGTGAGCAAACCACACGTGAATTCCAGTTTCACTGCCCAGGATTGGTACCTACACTTCAAAATGGTTGGGTTTAAGAAGGATGATCTGGTTTCCTACACAAAGCCCCCTTGCTCCTGGCAGGAATCGTGGCCTGGCTCCCTGCTCTGCTGCTGCAGGCTCTGCACAGTGGATTCCAGCTCATTCCCCTTCCATCCAAGTCTTCTCTTCCCTTTATTAAATCTGCTGCTGTGGTTCCACCTGGATTTATTGAATGTGTTACTGTTGGAGCTGGCTCAGCGAGGTGCTGTGTCACCACACAGCACAGCAATTAGCCAACCTCCCCATCCCTACAATACCTAGCAAGTACAATTAGTTTGTGGCTGCTGTAAATTGCCTGTGCTTCAAGGGAGTACTGCAGGTATTACTGGGGAGCCCTTGGGTAGTTCAGGCTATAAACCTGCACGTGTTCATCTAACCTGAGATCTGACATTAGAGCCATCATCGTGCAGAGCAAACAGGGCTCACTTCATAACCTTCTCTCCTGCTTCCAAAGAATAATGAGCTGGATAGATACATATCTGTTGTCTCTCTTGAATCTTGAAGAAGGAAATGAAACCCCAGGGAGGCAGCAGCTCCCAGCAGAGGTAAGAGATGGTGCAGATACCAGGCTGCTGTGTCATCTCATTCTGCTGCTCTCAGATGCACACGTTGTTGTTTGCAGGCGATGGGCACACTCCTGCACTGCCTGCTGGGGTGACAGGGCTGCACAAAGCCTGGCCAGACCCCCCTGCCCTCTGCTCTCACCTGTATTGACGGGGAGGTTGCAGGCTGTGACCCTGCCTGGGTTTTCCCATCTGAAAACTGGGGATAGATACCATTACCCCCATGCAGAAGGCAGATGGGCAACCAAGGGAGCTGAGGAGAGGCTGGGCTCTGTGCTGAGGGGCAGCATTGTTAGCCTAGGGTAGGGAGAAGCAGGTCAGGGCTGGAGCCTCCTGAGCTCACACCACATAGGAAGGATCCAGTCTGGAGTCAGATACCAGAACTATTGCCAGTGGAAGAGTTTAAAAGGAGCCTGACAGTTTTGTTGGCACTTTGCATGGCTTCTTCCCAGGTTTTTTAAATCCCACCTCTACAGAGCACTGCTCTGTGTAAAACTGAGAGAGAGGGTGGCAAGGAGCCAGACCTTGGACCCTTCAGCCTCAGCAGCTGCAGGGCAGGCAGTGGTGAGGGCAGCTCCCATCTCATGTGGGGTAATCAGCTCTGCATGAAAAACCTTAGGGATGTTTAAGGATTAACAACAGATTCAAACCAGAATAGAGCAGAGCATGTATGTGTGTCAGTGCTCACTGTTATGTCTGGGCCTGACAATGGCTTATCACCTGAAAAGCTTGCTTCACTGAACAGCATCACTGCTCGGGGCATTGGCAGGTCCATGACCCAGGCACTGGGCACCAGAGCTCAGCTGCCTTCTGGAAGATGAAGTGCAAAAAGCCAGGCTGCCTTCAGCCTGCTCAGAGGATGATGGGCTGTGCCTCCAGTGCTGCCTCTCTGCAGCAAGTCTCTGTTCTAGCCCAAAAGGTAAAGCTGCTGCAATGCTGCTCCCTGCACCAGCTGATCTTCAGTTACATAGAATAGGGTTGGAAGGGACCTTAAGATCATCCAGTTCCAACCCCCTGCCATGGGCAGGGACACCTCACACTAAACCATGGCACCCAAGGCTCTGTCCAACCTGGCCTTGAACACTGCCAGGGATGGAGCATTCACAACCTCCCTGGGCAACCCATTCCAGTGCCTCACCACCCTCACAGGAAAGAATTTCCTCCTTAGATCCAATCTAAACTTCCCCTGTTTCAGTTTGAACCCGTTACCCCTTGTCCTGTCACTGCAGTCCCTAATGAAGAGTCCCTCCCCAGCATCCCTATAGGCCCCCTTCAGACACTGGAAGCTGCTCTGAGGTCTCCCCGCAGCCTTCTCTTCTCCAGGCTGAACAGCCCCAACTTTCTCAGCCTGTCTTCATACAGGAGCTGCTCCAGCCCCTGATCATCCTCGTGGCCTCCTCTGGCCTTGTTCCAACAGTTCCATGTCCTTTTTATGTTGAGGACCCCAGAACTGCACACAATGCTCCAGGTGAGGTCTCACGAGAGCAGAGCAGAGGGGCAGGATCACCTCCTTGGACCTGCTGGTCACGCTGCTTTGGATGCAGCCCAGGACACGGTTGGTTTCTGGGCTGTGAGCGCACACTGAAGCCGGCTCAACCAACACCCCCAAGTCCTTCTCCTTGGGCTGCTCTGAATCTCTTCTCTGCCCAACCTGTAGCTGTGCCTGGGATTGCTCCCACCCAGGTGCAGGACCTTACACTTGGCATGGTTAAACTCCATGAGGTTGGCATCAGCCCAGCTCACATGTGTGTTGAGGTCCCTCTGGATGGCATTCCTTCCCTCCAGGGTATCAACCGAACCACACATCCCTGAGTAACTCCTGAACCTGCCAGCTGGTGCGAAGCAAATCCAGCCCAGTGGGAGTCTGGGAGATGTCCAGCTCTGTAAAACCAGACAGCAAAGCTGAGACCTGAGTTTGTCCCTGCCCTTAGGGGAAAGCATCAGAGGAGCTCAACCCGAGCAGAGGCTGTCAGAGAAGCCACGCAGGAGGGACCAGAGAAAAGCCAGCACTCTGTTTGTTACTGAAGTAGGTTAGGTTAGCCCTGGGAGACTCCAGCTGATACCCTTTTGTGTTGGGGGTGGTGTGTGTTCTTCTCTGATCTGAATGAACAGCATGAAGAGGACAGAAGGATCACTCCCCATTTCATCCCACATCATACAGGAAACCTGTGGTGTCTCCTAGGGCTGAGTGAGATAGAGAGGGGCTTTGGCCAAGAGCCTGCAGGGACAGGCCAAGGGGAGTGGCTTTAACCTGCCCGAGGGGAGACTGAGCTGAGCTCTTAGGCAGAAGCTCTTCCCTGGGAGGGTGCTGAGGTGCTGGCACAGGGTGCCCAGAGAAGCTGTGGCTGCCCCATCCCTGGCAGTGCTCAAGGGCAGGTTGGACACAGGGGCTTGGAGCAAGCTGCTCCAGTGGAAGGGGTCCCTGCCCGTGGCAGGGGTTGGAGCTGGAGGAACTTTAAGGTCCCTTCAACTCAAACTGTTCTGGGATTCTGTGATCATCATCAAGTTTGTTTCCACTTGAGGCCAGGGGAGTTCTGGTGCAGTCTGGAGGCTGTTCCTCTTTGCTGCTCTGTGCCATACTAGAGTTAGCTCAGGATGCAGAGGGCATTCCCCCCCCCCCAGTACATTCACTGCACCTTGTCCTTGCTGGGTGGGTTTCCTCTGAAAGAGCTCCCAGTGATGGTGAGTACCAGTCCTGCTGCTCCAGAGCCCATGAACATCAGCTCCAGGCCTCCTGCTGGGTTCTGGCTGGCTCCCAGGGACATCTCAATGCCAGGACACTCCCTGCTCTGACAGGAACATTTGTTTTCCTTGTTTTCATTTCGTTCCTCACTCCATCCTTTTCTGACATCCTCATTAATTTGTCTCCACATCGGGGCTTTGATTTATTCGTTTGTTCTTACACTCTGAGGCAGCTGAGACACTCCTCAGGCCTCTGGCGCTCTGCTGGTTTCTTAGACAGGCCCAGGAGTATTCTGCCATGGTTAGTCAGCAGCGGGTCTGGGTGTCCCACATCCCACACCCATGTGTGAGTCCTCCTTGCTCAGAAGTTCGCTGATTTGCCTGTCGGTCCAAGTGGATTTGCGCTCACTTGGTCACTGCAGAGCAAGCGTCAGGCCCCGGATTTCTTTGGTAGCCCCCACAGCTGGTAAGAACAAGCCACCCTCCTCCATCCTGCTTGTAAGGATTAAACAAAATCCACACTAGCCAAAGAGAAAGGGGGAATTCTGACAGCCTCACTTAACCGGTGTGTGAAACCTCTTAGAACTACAGCAGGACAGGGAGGCCCGGCTGATAACTGCATGGCCACAACAGCCTCAGTCTGGTTTTGCCATCCAAGAGCTTAATGGGGTAGGAAAACACAGTGACATCCTTGTCCAGCCTGTGCTGTCCAGACTCAGCGGTGCAGAGCAGAGATCAGAGCCACAGCCACGTCTCCTTCTGTCTCTAAGGGGGGAGACCAGAAACCCGGAGGATGAATAAGAAAAGATGCAGCATGACTGCGGGCACCGCTCCATCCCTCTCTTGTTGCCCTGGTAATGAGCCTCTGACATGCACAGGCAGGCTGACTGCTCACACCCAGCACATGGAGGGTATTTCACAGCACACTGGGCACCAAAGCCCCTGAAATACTTTGTTCCACTTGGTACAGCCATCGTTGTAATGTGCAGCATTTCTTCAAGGCCTGGAGGAGGAAACCTTACCTGTGCAGAGAGCAGGGCTTCGTCCTCACTGGGCTCTCCCCTGTACCCTCATCACCAGGAAGGTGCATCTGAGCAAAGTGCAGCCTCTCCCTGCACGTGAAGCAAGGTGAAAACAGGTTAGCAGCGAACCGTGGGAGCTCTGGCCTTACTCTGGTCAGGTCAGCTTTCCTAGCTTTACTTTAGGTGCTTTAAAGTGGGTTCTCCTGAGCATCGGATGTGTGAGTCTGTCCAACCTTTCCCAATTTAACTTCTCTATAGCAATTGCTACTTAACGCCCCTTCTGCTCAGTGCTCTTATGATTGTTTTGGCCAAGAAGTCCTTGATTGCAGGAATAATTGAGTGGTAAAATACTAGGAAATTTGTTATCAGGTGAACGATTTGCGAGCAGTTGTTAATTCAGGCTATGACTTCATGTAGATCCCTGCGGAGGAAAGCCTGCTGTTAGTGCATGGAAGGGCGTTTCTTGCTCGGGCTTGCTGGGGGTTGCTGCCTCCCCCACACTTTATTGTGTGTCATTACAAGAGACACCTCAGGATAGCTGTTGTTAACACCAGGGGTTTCCTGCCGGTTCTGCATCAGCACTGTGCTCACTTCCAGCCGCAGCTCTGCCTGGTGGAGTCTTTAGCCCAAAGAGAGTCAAATCTGTACCTCGGACCAGCAGACCCTCACCTGTGACTTGCTTTTCCCTTGCAGGGCTGCTGCCCAGGGCCTTGCCCTCAGCCTGATGGAGCGGCTCATCGGGAGGTACGGGCAGAAGGTGGTGAGGATGCTGACGGTGCAGTACCGCATGCACGAGGCCATCATGCACTGGGCTTCCTCCGAGCTCTACGGCGGCCGCCTCACTGCGCACCCCACCGTAGCCCAGCACTTGCTCAAGTGAGTCACTGCCCTGCCCTGGATGTGAGCACAGACGGGTTTTTCATCCGCCACATGCAGGGCTTGTCCTTCCCTGCGATGGGTTTGCCATTCCCCCTGGCCTCTGGGGTTCTGTGACTCCACCGGAGCTAAAGGGCCCCCCTTGGCTCTTGCTGTGTGTGGCGTGGTCTTTGGCAGCAGCACTGCAAATGCAAAGGGACCAGAGCTTGGTGGAAGGATAGAGGGACCTCAGTGCTCAGTTTCTGTCATTCTTCACCACCTCCAGAGCCAGTCTTCTGCCTTTTCACCCCAGACAACAGCCCTGCTGCCCTGCAGCCTCATCCCTCAGAAGCAAGATCCATTTTCCCCCTGTCCTCGCAGTGGTGTTGGGATGAGTGAGGACACCGCAGCTGATCGTCCCTGGGGTGAAATATCCGTGTTGTTCACTGGCCCTTTCCCACATATCTTGTGCAGGGACCTGCCGGGCGTCACCTCCACAGAGGAGACCACAACTCCCTTCCTGCTTATAGACACTGCTGGCTGTGACCTGTTTGAGCTGGAGCTGGAAGATGAGCAGTCCAAGGGGAATCCAGGTACCGTGGTTTGGAATGCGTTGTTGGCCTTCAGCTTCCCATGGGCTCAGTGATCCACATCCCAGAGATGTCCCCTCTGGAGCAGGTAGCAGGGAAGGTGGGATCCCCAGGGAGCCTTGCTTGAGAGACCGTTTCCTCCCTAAATCCTCAATCTCAAAGGACTCTGAGCCAGAGCAAAGTGGCCACAGATCACAGTGACAGTGCCCAGCTTGCAGGTGGCCACACTGGCTGCCTTGTTCCCTTGCAGAGACATTTCTCCATGCTGTGGACAGGGATAGGGTGGAGGATCCCTGTAACAGATGCTTTACACAAATAACATAAGGCAGATCATGAGCCTGTTCTGGGAAGACTGTAGATGTGCTCCCTTCACGAAGTCCTGTATGGCTCTGCTCCAGGAGTATTCCGAAGACATTGAGTTTCCTGATGGTTTTGACTTAAAATACAGGTTTCATGATGGAGATGGAGTGAAAGTTCTTGCTCCACAGCCATTCTGCAGCAGGGGCTGTCCAAAACGTGGTGCTTCATCCGAGAGCCCACTTACTGCAGCCACCCCTGCCTGGCTTCTGCTGCACTTCTCCCAGTGGCTGAGGCTTTTCTGCCATCACTTTCATGTGGCCAAAGAGCTTTTTTACCATCGGGGCTGCTGCTCCAGGCCTCATTTGTTTTCCTCTGTTCACTGGTGCAGATCTGATGCCAGCAACAGATGCTGAGGTTTTCAAGTCCCTTTCTGGCAAGATGGGAAAAGGGACTGTAAAATCCAAGCACAGTTTTTACCACTTGAAATATCTGTTTGAAATCCCAGCAGCATTGACGTGGCTCTTGTTTCCTGTACGCTAAATCCAGGGAAAGGCTCTTGTCCCTCCATGGAGAGCCAAAAAGACTTGTCAGAGATAACTCGTGGATTTTGAGCAGGGGATTCAATGCCCATCTCCCAAACCTGGGAGGCAGCCTTTTGGAGCAGCACGGTGCAGAGTTTGGGGTTTATACCTGTGTTTTGCTGTAAAACAGAGGGTGAAACCAGTCCAGCCAATGAACCAGTGGAACAGTTCACACCTTGTCCTCATCAGATCCCTCTGAAGCAGCCCCATCCCAAACGGCCCATGAGGAGTCTGAGCACATGGATCAGCCTGGAGCGTGTTGATGTGGTCACAGGGGTTTAGAAGCGCAGGGACTTGAAAGGCAGAACGAAAGGGAGGGTGGAGGGCTCAGCTGCAGCGAAGAACTGAGTTTATAGCGGGCTCTAGGGTCTTGCTTCAAAGGGAGAATAACCCATTGCCTGGATTAGCAGTGACCTCTCGGGTTAACAAACCCAGGGAAAGCCAAGTGCTGCTCAGAAAGCTCTTCAGCTTAAGTGAGCTGGTGACTTGGAAAGGCAGGAAGCAAGCACGGCGCAGCCCTGGGAATGAGGTTGTGGAGCTCCATGGAGCTGAGCAAGCCAGGTTGGGAATGCTGCAGGCAGGAGGTCCCTCGGCCTTTCCTCGCTGTTTAAGGGGAGATGGGGAAGTTGCCCTGAGCCTTATCCAAGCTGGCAGCTTCAGCCCCTGCCCAGCAGGCTGCTCCCCTCACCGACCCCTCTGCTTCTGCCCTAGGGGAGGTGCAGCTGGCTGGTTTGCACATCCGAGCCTTGCTGGAAGCTGGTGTGAAGGCAAAAGACATCGCTGTGATAGCCCCCTACAACCTGCAGGTGAGCTGCCCCTCTCCTGCTGCGTGCACACCGGGCAGGCACACGGAGCTGCATGCAAACCCTGACAGCTCCAGCAGTGATACCAGAACAGCCTCAGAGAGAGGGAGGGGGAAGTCAGCAGAAGCAAACTGTATGATCAGCATTTGAGGCCAAGGTATGCCCACTGAAGCAGCTTGAGGCCATGGAGGGAAGAGGTTTTAGCTGGGTATTTTCCACTTCCAGCCTCAGGGGCCAGCGCTTTACCTCTGGGAGATGTGAGATCTCCTCCGTGGGGGTTGAGAGGAAGGGACGTCACCAAAACGGCTCCATTTTCGTCCTTTTCACTTTGTGCTTTCCTTTCAAAGACACCCGTCCCCTGTTTTTCAGGTGGACATGCTGAGAGAGCACCTTGGCCACAGCTACCCGGAGCTAGAAATCAAATCAGTCGATGGTTTCCAAGGCAGAGAGAAAGAGGCAGTGATCCTGTCGCTCGTGAGATCCAACAGGAAAGGTGAGGCTCCCTGCTGGAGTTATTCCGTGGGGAACGGGACAGAAGTGGGAACTGTGATTGCTGAGAGGTCTCTCGTCACGTTGCCAAGGGGTTTAATTGCAGTTCTGACAGGCTCTGGCACTTTGCTCTGAACTGATTCACTGCAGGAAGCTTCCCTTCAGCCTTTGGGGTTTTACAAAGGAGCATCTCAGCTGACAGAGTTGCAGGGGAAGGCTCCATGAGAGGCAGCAGGGGGAGAGGGCCAGGGCTTAGCCTGGAGGTTTCCAGGCTGGGGAGGCCTCAGAAGTGATTTAAAGGAGGATGCTAAGCGTGGCAGGGCAGTTGGCACCATGCTCACTGCAGTGCTAAGCGTGTCCCATGAAGGGTGAACGCCTGGGAGGTGATTTCTTGGGCTTGGAGCCTCTTCTGGGTCAGTTCCCTAAGGCAAGCAAGCGGGAGCTGGCACTGCAGGTCCTGCACAGAGCATGCTGCTGGGGGGAGCAGAAAATCAGGTTCTTCCCTATGAGCGGCTGCAGCCAGAGGTAAGAGCTGGGAAAAGCTGCTGCCCTGGGGCCAGGAGGCTCCTTTGGAGGTGCTGAAGGGCTCTGGGGCAGCTCGGGGGACCCCTCATGAACCCCCTCTGGCCTATGCATGGATCACTGCCCTTTTCCCACCCCCCAGAGACACACATCCCTTGCTGCACTCCCCGCCTTTGCTGCTGGAGATGAAGCAGTGGGTATGGGCCGGGAGTGCTGATGTCTGGGAGGAAAGGAAAGAGGAAAGCATGCATGGAAGGAGGAGGTGGTTGTGGTGTTTTTAGAAAGCCTGGAGCCAGGAAAGCAGTGCTGGGGGAGAACGGAGGTGGGGCAGGACTAAGAATAGGTCTTATTTGGGAGTGACTCACCTCGCCTTTGCTTGGAGGAGCTGGTGTCCCCATGAAGGTGGGTGTCCCCAACCCCTTCCTGTGCACAGCCAGCAGCCAAGGCTCAGCTGGGGGGCAGGAATCACTGGCTTCCCTGGGAGCACAAGGCAGCTTCTCGTGGTGCCTGGTTTGCCCAGGGGATGATGTTGGTGCCCTTGGGAGAAAGCCAGACCCTTTCTGCAGCTGCATTTCGGAGTTCAGAAGAGGCCAGGGACCTGGACCAGCCATTCCTAATGCAGCGGGAAGCCCCCTTGCCCCATCAGAGGAGCTGAACTTGCCCCGAACACATAAAACCACACCAGAGGAACTGAAAACTGCAAACTCTCTCTAAGCTGCAGAGCCCAGAGGGGATCCCTCACCCCCTGCTCCCCAAAGGCAGCACCAACTGGCGCTGCCCAGACACAGCAGGGCAGGGCAGAACCCGAGCCGGGCTGGTCACTGCACCAGCAGAGACCTGAGCTGCTTCTGCTCTGTATCCCCAGGGGCTGGAACTCAGCAGCTGCCCACGGGACCCCTCTCACTTGGCTGAGCCTCAGTGACTCATCTGGGCATTCGCCAGCTCTCGCTGCTTTTCTTCCAGCAGCAAACCCTGCAGAGCTGCCTCAATAGCTGTTACCTAAACCACCGAGAGCCTGGAGACACGTGGGGGCTGTGCATGGAATCATAGAATGGCTTGGGTTGGAAGGGACCTTAAAATCACCCAGCTCCAACCCCAACCCCTTCCACTGGAGCAGCTTGCTCCAAGCCCCTGTGTCCAACCTGGCCTTGAGCACTGCCAGGGATGGGGCAGCCACAGCTTCTCTGGGCACCCTGTGCCAGCGCCTCAGCACCCTCACAGCGAAGAGCTTCTGCCTTACACCCAAGCTGAGCTTCCCCTGTTTGAGTTTGAACCCGTTACCCCTGGTAATACAGGTATAGGTATAGGGCAGGGGGGGTTTCTTTACCTGCAGCTCCTGTGTATTGCAACGTGAGCCTTGTCCCCATTGCTCCATACGGCATTTGCTGTGGGTGCTGTGGGCCCCCCAGGAGAGCATCTCTCCTCCCCCTGTGCCGTCCTCCGCCATGTGCCCCGAGCAGGGGCAGGGAACGAAGGCGGGGGTGTGAGCCAGGGCCCGCTCCTGTCCCCGCTGACTCCTCGGCGTCCCTTGGCGGACGGGGCTCCAGGCGTGGGGCCGGCGCTGAGGGCCCCGTTCCCTGTCCCCCAGGTGAGCTGGGCTTCCTGGCCGAGGAGCGGCGGCTGAACGTGGCGGTGACGCGCGCCCGGCGCCACGTGGCCCTGCTCTGCGACGCGGGCACGGTGTGCAGGCAGCCCTGCCTGCAGCGCCTGCTGGCCCACGCCGCCCGCCACGGCCTCGTGCGCTCGGCCTTCGAGTACCTCGGAGACCTCGTGCCCCAGAGCCGCCCCCCGGAGGGGCCGCGCGGGCGGCACCGGGGGACAAAGCCGCCTGCGGGAGCCAGCCCCGAGGCGCAGGCACGGCCCGCGGGGAAGCGCGGGGCAGCAGCAGCCGGAGCAGCGCGGCCGCAGCCAGGAGCGGCGCGGAGCAGCGGTGCCCCTGGGAGGGAGAGCCCCGAGGCAAGAGGGGGCGCTGAGCGCCTAAGGGCCGCGCTGGAGGCCTTCCTGGGGAGCAGGGAGGTGCAGCTGGATTTCCCCCCGACCCTCAGCGCCCACGATCGGATGCTGGTTCATCAGATGGCCGAGGAGCTGGGGCTGCAGCACGGGAGCACCGGGGAGGGCAGGGACCGGTTCATCAGCGTCCGCAGGAAGGAGCCCCCGGAGCCTGCGCTGCCTGCAGCCACCTTTGCCGGGGAGCAGCAGCCCCTTCCTCGGCCCCGGCGTCCCAGCAGCGAAAGCCCTGTCCCCGCTGAGCCGGGAGGGAGCAGCCAGGGCACGGGGAAAGTGGACCTGAAAGCCCTGCACCTCGAGAGGGTACAGAGGGAGAAAGGCAGGCGGGAGGAGGCAGCGAGGAAGACTCAGGAGCCCAAGGCCAGCAGCAGGAGGAAGGACAAAGGTGAAGGCAAAGGTAGGTCACTGTGTTCATAAACAGCACAATGAATGGGCTTAGCTGAACGGAGCATGCTGCTTCATCCTCGTGGGTTTGCCTCCAGGGCTTGGGATTTGTCTGGGTGTGTGGAGGATGGGATGTGGCTCTTGGAAAGCGCTCTGATGCTTGTCCCTGCAGAGGTGTGGGGACTGGCAGGAACACGCATCACTTGGCCGCAGCATCTGTGGAAGGGGGTGTTACACATTCCTTAGATCAGAGGGAAAACACTGGGGACCCTATCCCAGGCTCAGGGAATTGGAGGCTCCCAAATGCAGGGAGAGGAACAAAGAGGAGTGTCTGGCCCACAGCGAAGGATGTGGCTGCCTCCTAACCACAGAGGCAGAGGCAAACAGGCAGGAGCTGCCGTTCTTCCTCCAGACACATCCCTTCCTCTTCCCTTTTAGCAGGGGGGCACCCAGGCACCCTGCGGGAGGGAGCCCTGCGCTCGTGCCTGTGAGCAACGGGGCTCATGGTGCTGCGGGGATGGGTGCCGGGGGGTCAGCGTGCTCTCTGCTCCCCAGGCAAGCCAGCAGAGGCAGAAGAAGACCTCGACGCCCTGATCTCTGCTGCCGTGAAAGCTGACAGCACGTGTGGCTTCCCCCGCTGCACAGCCAGCCTCGCCACCCTGGGCCAGCTCTGCCACCACTGCCACCGCCGCTTCTGCCTCAGCCACCACGTCCCCGAGGTACGGGGGCTGCAGGGGAGGGCTTCGTGTGGGAGCCCCCAGGCAGGAGCTCCTTGCTTGGGAGGGCTGGAAGCAGCAGCTCTCTGGCGGGGCTTTGGAGCTGCAGGAGGAAGGGCTGGCGGATGTTAACCTGGGCTCTGCACGCTGCCTCCTCAGAGCTGCTGCCGCTTCCTTCTGCTGCCTTGTGCCCTCCTGTACCGTTCCCTGGCAGGGCGATGGGACTTCATGACCTAAAGGTCCTTTCCAGCCCGAGCCCTTCTGTGATTCCACGATTTACACCGGGTTGTGCAGATCCAGCAAGGCAGAGAGGAGAAACAAAGAGGTGTGAGCCTAAGGCTCTGACTGCAGGGAGCCTGCGCGCCCTTCCCCGTTCTCAGCTGATTCCCTCTGCAGCCTGGGGACAAGGCTTGAGCCACACAGAGCAGCAGTTAGGCATTTCCTTAAGTGCTGTGCTGGCTTGGAGCTGAGCTGCTCCACACTGTGCAGACTCAGCTCTAGCTCCCATCCACACCTGAGTGACAGGAGTCCCTCTGCCTCCTCTGCTCTGCTTTCTTGCGGTGGAGGACTCTTGATCAGGCATCTCAGCAGCCCTGTAACCTGCTGTAACGTGGGAGTGTGATGGCAACTAAACCAACAGCTTCTTGCTGTTCATCCGTAGCTGCTTGACAGCCCTTTCCTCCCAGATCTGGGAAGGAAGGAAGGAAGGAAACGAAGGTTAAAGTGATGTCAGGCTTCAGCTTTCTGTTTGGGTGCAGAGGCAGGCAGACAGTTGAAGCCTCCAGGCTTGGCAGCGTGATGCTCATTGCAAGCTGGCCTCAGGGTCTGAGTCCTGTGGGCAGAGCTGACGTGGCTGTGACGGGGACACGAGCTGAGAGGTGATGATTGTCCATTGAGCTGCAGCCTCCTGTGCCCATCGTCCTCATCCTGCATCCCCCAGGCACAGCTCTTCACTGCACAGAGCTTAGCAACATTTAGCAGCTGACCTATAAATCCTCCACGAGGATGCTCCCCCTGTCAGGCACTGTTTCCATGGCAAAGAATCGCTGTATTTATGGTCATTCACAATCCAGTGTGGGGATGAATTTCTTCCCTGCAGAGCTGCCTCTCCCTGCTGAATGGCAATGAGGGGGGAAGCCATTGGAAGGGTGAAATCCTGCCAGGGAGCTTGTGTTGCTTTTCTGTGTTCTGCTCCTTTCCCAGACGTTATCAGGCTTCAATGTGAAATGGCCTGAGACCTCCTAACCCTGCCTGGCCCCAAGGGGGGCTCCAGCACGTGCCTGGAGCCATCACAGAGGGGCTGGAGCTTCTGGTCCCTCTTCAGAAGGGAGATACCTAAATGGTCCGAGAGGAAAGCTGGAGAGGGGCTTGGGACAAGGGCCTGGAGGGCCAGGCCAAGGGGAATGGCTTGAACCTGCCCAAGGGGAGACTGAGCTGAGCTCTTAGGCAGAAGCTCTTCCCTGGGAGGGTGCTGAGGCGCTGGCACAGGGTGCCCAGAGAAGCTGTGGCTGCTCCATCCCTGGCAGTGTTCAAGGCCAGGTTGGACACAGGGGCTTGGAGCAAGCTGCTCCGGTGGAAGGGGTTGGGGTTGGAGCTGGAGGAGCTTTAAGGTCCCTTCAACCCAAATCAGGCTGGGATTCTATGACTTGTGTTCCCCTTTAGCTGCTGAAGCCCCCTCCATGCAGCACAGCACAGCACAGCAGATCCCAGTGGCTGATGCCTGTGCTCCAGCCCCTGCTGAGGTGGGGTTACTGCCTCTTTTAAGGTTGGTCTGGCGGGTCTCTTAGCTCCAACTGGTTTAGGTTGGGCAATGGGCTCAGCAGCCCCCATCCTGGCCAGGAGCCATGGGCTGTTTCAGGCACTGACAGCCTGCTCCATGGCCAGGGAGCTCTGGCATAGAGTCAAGGAATGGTTTGGGTTGGAAAGGACCTTAAGATCATCCAGTTCCACCTCCCTGCCGTGGGCAGGGACACATCACACTAAACCATCTCACTCTGTCACAGCAGGACGGGCTGGGATCCTACCTGGTGGAGGTGATTCAGGCTGGTTTGAACTCGGCTTAAACCTTAAGCAGGGCCTTTGGCTTCAGCCCAGACGGGGTTTGGTGAAGGTTTGCCTGCACAATCAGTGTCATGAAGCCTTGTCATTCCACGGCAGAGCGCAGATGTGCTCGCACCGAGCAGCAGGGGATGGCTGGAAAGGTCTCTTCTCGTTTCCGAGTCTCTTGTCCCGTTTCCCTCCTTGCCCCTCAAGTCTCTCTGTGCTAGCAGAGAACGTGATCAGGAGCTCCGGTTTATTCCTGGCTCTCGTGAGCCCCAGGGAAGATCCCGTGGATGGAGCCTGCCCCTGAAGGAGGCACGCGCTTACCCTCTCCGAGGGGATTGTTCTCCCGCTGCACATTGCAGATAGGGAAAAATCACCTTCACACTCGTGTTCTCTGCTGCAGGAGCTGTGGCTGAATGGGGGTGGGTTTGGAGGGCTGCAGAGGAGCCGGCTTTCCAGGCTCTGGCAGTGCAGCCACCCCGTTGCCCCGCGTGTGAGCGCGGTCCCCGTTTCCCACCGGTGTCTGTGCTCTCCCCCCAGGCTCACGGCTGCGGGGACAAGGCCAAGGCGCAGGCGCGGCAGCGCAGCAGCAGGGAAGGGCTCCTGTACCCCGGGGGCGGCTCCCTGGACCCGGCCAGGAGAGCCCTTCTCCAGCGGCGCCTGGACAAGAAGCTCAGCGAGCTCACGAGCCAGAGGAAGAGCAAGAAGAGGGACAAGGAGAAGTGAAGGAGCTCGACAGCCTCCGTTAAGCCTGGAAGTCAACGGGTCAGGCTGCGACGGCCAGAGATGCTGCTAAAGCTTCAGGGGGGAGGTGGAGCTCTCAGTTTTGGGTGCTGACAGAGCCTGGAGCCGTCGTGCTCAATAAAGGGTGGCTGGGTCTCCCTGGACCGCAGAGCCGAGGCGGAGGAAGGAGGGCAGCTCTGTTTGTCCTCATTGGCAAAGTGATGGATGTACAGGGAGAGGCTGGAGAACGCCAGTAAAGATGGATACGAAACACCTACAGCGGCCTGTGGTGGTTCTCCTGCTGCAGCAAGAAGAGAAATGGCTGGGAGCAGGAATGTGAGGGGAGCTGAAAGCCCCGCGTGGGCCTCTCCTCAGGGAGCGTGACAAGAGTGGGTGCTCCAGCTCCACTGGTCCAGCCCTGTGAGGTTTATGCAGGTGGGAGGGAGCCTCACGTTCAGCCTCCCCCGTCCCTGTCTGGTCCCTGGTCCCGTACCCCCAAAATTGATCCATCTCCCATGTTTTCTGCCTGTTGATCCTCATCTCCAAGCACCTCTCCATCCATGCAGCCCAGAAACCAACCATATCCCGGTCTGCATCCAAAGCAGCGTGACCAGCAGGTCCAAGGAGGTGATCCTGCCCCTCTGCTCTGCTCTCATGAGACCTCACCTGGAGCATTGTGTGCAGTTCTGGGGTCCTCAACATAAAAAGGACATGGAACTGTTGGAACAAGTCCAGAGGAGGCCACGAGGATGCTCAGGGGCTGGAGCAGCTCCTGTATGAAGACAGGCTGAGAAAGTTGGGGCTGTTCAGCCTGGAGAAGAGAAGGCTGCGGGGAGACCTCAGAGCAGCTTCCAGTGTCTGAAGGGGGCTATAGGGATGCTGGGGAGGGACTCTTCATTAGGGACTGCAGTGACAGGACAAGGGGTAACGGGTTCAAACTGAAACAGGGGAAGTTTAGATTGGATCTAAGGAGGAAATTCTTTCCTGTGAGGGTGCTGAGGCACTGGAATGGGTTGCCCAGGGAGGTTGTGAATGCTCCATCCCTGGCAGTGTTTAAGGCCAGGTTGGACAGAGCCTTGGGTGCCATGGTTTAGTGTGAGGTGTCCCTGCCCGTGGCAGGGGGTTGGAACTGGATGATCTTAAGGTCCTTTCCAACCCTGACTATTCTATGATTCTAATGCAGCAGCCCCTGCCCTGTCCCCTCTCCTTTATGGCTCCAAGTGGGTACCAGTGACAGCACGGGCTCCATCACCACCCGAGTGCAGCCGCTTGTCCCCAGGGTGGCACACGCAGGCCCTGGGCTGAAGGAGAAGGAACTGAGCTGCCTCCACAGGGGAATGGCCGCAGAGGAGGGCACAGAAAGCCCCAGGCCCCACACATCCGCCGGTGCTCCGGGGCTGAGCAGCACCCACCTCAGCAAGCCGTGCCTGCAGCAGCAGTGCAGGGCCCGCAGCCCATCCTGCGCAGCGGCTCAGCAGGGGCTGCAGGGCAGCCGAGCATTCCTCCCTCTGTCCCTTCCCGAATGGACACGAGCAACTCAAGGGGCGAATTGTCCCCCACGTCCAACCCCCAACCCCTGCTCACCCTTCAGGCAGCCTCGTGCCCCAAACCCCTCCGTGCCCCCATCCAGGGGCTGGTGTTGGCAGGATGGCACCGGCCCCGCTGGCAGCAATGGGACACGGGGCTCTGGGACGGGGTTGGGAGGAGGGGATGGAGCGTGGGAGGAAGGGGAACGAGCAGAGCGGTGCCTCGGCAGCGGGAGCGGCAGCCTCATCCCGAAGGAAGGTCGGGCAGGGAAGGGAGATGCGCAGGAAGGAGAACGGCTGCTGCCCGCAGGGGTTGCTTTAGTCCGGGATAACGGCTCGTGCACACGCTTCCCTGCTCAGAGCATTCAAACAACCTCCTCCGACCCCTTCGTGGTGAGCAGGGCCGCAGCCCCCCCCGCCCTGCCCTGCTTCCTGCCGGGATGCTGCAGGTGGGAGCACGGGATGAGTGCCCCGAGCCCCCCGCGCCATGCGGGGGCTCCACCAGAGCCCTCCCGCTGGGAAGCAGCGCGGACATCGGCTCCTCAACACCCCAGACCTGACCCAGGGCCCTCCCTGGGGCCGGAGCCAGGTTTTTCCTCTCCCTTCCCCTGAAACGGGAGCTGGGCTTAAAAACGGTGAAATTGGGATCTCCGGTGCCTGCCGCGGGTCACGGGGCCGGGCCGAGCCTGTCCGCACCCAGAGGTCGGGTAAAAGGAGGGAGCTTTGGGATGAGCAAGTCCAGGCGGGATCCCAGGACTGGGGGCCACAAAAATCCCCCCAGTGGTGAGGTTTGTGTTAAAGGAGCAGGGACTGGGGGCTGGGAGCAGCCCCGAGGGTTGCTTTGGCTGGGGAAAGCTGCCCCAGCTGATGGCTCAGCCCCCAGAGGGGTTGAACCCCCCCAGCCAACTCCAGCCACAGGGGCAGGGGCTCAGCCTGCTTCAGATGGAAGGAGACCCCGCCTGCAGCCATGCCCTTTGCCTGCCGTCACTGCCCTCCTTCGCCATCCGCACTGCCAGCGCTTGGGCACCAAAATCCCTCTGAAACACCCCAAAAACCCGCACTGCCCCCAGTGCAACCACAGCCACCCACTGGAACCACCCTGACCCAGTGCAACCACAGCCACCCACTGGAACCACACTGACCCAGTGCAACCACAGCCACACATTGGAACCACACTGACCCAGTGCAACCACAGCCACCCACTGGAACCACACTGACCCAGTGCAACCACAGCCACCCATTGGAACCACCCTGACCCAGTGCAACCACAGCCACCCATTGGAACCACCCTGACCCAGTGCAACCACAGTCACCCATTGGAACCACACTGACCCAGTGCAACCACAGCCACCCATTGCAACCACACTGACCCAGTGCAACCACAGTCACCCACTGGAACCACACTGACCCAGTGCAGCCACAGCCACACATTGGAACCACACTGACCCAGTGCAACCACAGCCACCCACTGGAACCACCCTGACCCAGTGCAACCACAGCCACCCACTGGAACCACCCTGACCCAGTGCAACCACAGCCACCCACTGGAACCACACTGACCCAGTGCAACCACAGTCACCCACTGGAACCACACCGTGCCAGCTCTTTATCGTCCCCCCTCTCTCCGTTGCCCCCCATCCAACCAAGCCCCCCCGCCCCAGAAGCCCTCAGGGTGCACACTTGAGGCCACCTCCGGTGCCCGCGGGATGCTCTGGGGACGCTGTGCTGGCTGTGGTCCCTGTGGAGGGATGCTCCTTGCCCAGCGAGTCCATTCCCAGCCCTTGGCCCGGGCGGGCTCACCCCGGCGGGGGCGCTGCAGCGGCTCCATCCTCGAGTCCTTCGGAGCGGGCAGCTCCGCTCCTCCCAGCGCTGCGGCTCCCGGCCCAGCCCCGGCGGCTCCCGGCCGCCCCGAGCCCTGTGCCGCTGTCCCGGGGCTCGGGTCCCCCCCGCACCGAGCCTTAGTTTCTGCGGAGCGGGTGCCACATGGACACGGGCCTGCGGAGCGTGGCCAGCATCTGGTTCCAGTGCGTGGTGCCCATGCCGCTGGCCGCGGGGCCGATGAGGACGTGGCCCGTGTTGTCGGCGCGGCCGTCGTCCCCGCACTCGGCCACCGTCACCCGCAGGGACAGCTCCTGGGGGGGGACACGCGACAGCCCCAGTGCTTCACCCCCGTTACGTGAGCCCAGACCCACACCCGAACGGACCCCCAGGGCTAACACGCAGGCACGCAGCCCCTGCACCCCCACCCTATAAACACCCCCTGAGAGCTACACCCCAACACACACCCATCCCCTGCACCCCCACCCCATAAACACCCCCCAGATAGCTACACCCCAACACACACCCATCCCCTGCACCCCCACCCTATAAACACCCCCTGATAGCTACACCCCAACACACACCCATCCCCTGCACCCCCACCCCATAAACACCCCCCCCAGATAGCTACATCCCAACACACACCCATCCCCTGCACCCCCACCCCATAAACACCCCCTGATAGCTACACCCCAACACACACCCATCCCCTGCACCCCCACCCCATAAACACCCCCTGATAGCTACACCCCAACACACACCCATCCCCTGCACCCCCACCCCATAAACACCCCCCTGATAGCTACACCCCAACACACACCCATCCCCTGCACCCCCACCCCATAAACACCCCCTGATAGCTACACCCCAACACACACCCATCCCCTGCACCCCCACCCCATAAACACCCCCCAGATAGCTACACCCCAACACACACCCATCCCCTGCACCCCCACCCCATAAACACCCCCCAGATAGCTACACCCCAACACACACCCATCCCCTGCACCCCCACCCCATAAACACCCCCCAGATTGCTACACCCCAACACACACCCATCCCCTGCACCCCCACCCCATAAACACCCCCTGATAGCTACACCCCAACACACACCCATCCCCTGCACCCCCACCCTATAAACACCCCCCCCAGATAGCTACATCCCAACACACACCCATCCCCTGCACCCCCACCCCATAAACACCCCCCAGATAGCTACACCCCAACATACACCCATCCCCTGCACCCCCACCCCATAAACACCCCCCAGATTGCTACACCCCAACACACACCCATCCCCTGCACCCCCACCCCATAAACACCCCCAGATAGCTACACCCCAACACACACCCATCCCCTGCACCCCCACCCTATAAACACCCCCCAATAGCTACACCCCAACACACACCCATCCCCTGCACCCCCACCCTATAAACACCCCCCGATAGCTACACCCCAACACACACCCATCCCCTGCACCCCCACCCCATAAACACCCCCTGATAGCTACACCCCAACATACACCCATCCCCTGCACCCCCACCCCATAAACACCCCCTGATAGCTACACCCCAACATACACCCATCCCCTGCACCCCCACCCCATAAACACCCCCCCCAGATAGCTACACCCTAACACACACCCATCCCCTGCACCCCCACCCCATAAACACCCCCCGATA